AACCACGTCCCGAGCGGGGGAGTTTCGAGTGAACCTGTGGAGGTGGAGCGGCTGATCCCGAAGCGGGATGCCACCGGCGCCAGGGAGCATCCAGATGATACGGCCGGCAGCCAGGTAGGGGAACTGCGAGCTCAGGTGGGAAAGGCAAGTGACGGATGGTGCGTGATGAACTTGGCAGGAGCCTCTGAGGATGACTGTAAGGACAGAAGTGAGGAGCAGCCGGGTCAGCCAGCTGAGAGTAGGGACTTGGACCACGAAGAGTGGGAAGTTGTTTCTGAGCACCTGGTCGAGGGGGGGGCCGGCAAGGATGGCAGCATGGAAGACTCCGACAGCAGGGAATGGGAACAAGGAGACTGCTGCGATGGGGACTCGAAAGCCAAGAGGGTTGCAGCCGTGCCCCCCATGTTCCAGAACATCCACGTGGCTTTCCGTGTGCACTACATCACACACTCCGAGGCTCAGCTCATCGGTGTCACCGGGGACCACGAGTGTCTTGGCCAGTGGCACAGCTATGTTCCCCTCAAGTGTGACAAGGATGGCTTCTGGTCCGAGTCCATCAGTCTGCCCGCAGACACCAGACTGGAGTGGAAATTTATCTTGGTGGAGAACGGGAAGGTCAGACGCTGGGAAGAATGCGGTAATAGAACCCTAGTGACTGAACATGAAGATCAAATTGTTCATCAGTGGTGGGGATACCATTAACGGGATGTTGGAAGCTGCTGATCTAGTGGCAAACCTGCCTAGATGAGTCACCGAGCCCCTAAACCTTAGGGGGGGCTCCCCTTCTTCAGTAGGAGACCCTCTCAAGTGCAGAGCCCTGGAAATCCTGTATGGAACCCAGCTAAACCAACCTGTGAGCAGCAGATCTCTGCCATCCCCTTTAGGAAATCATCTGGCAACCCGAAAAATCAACTGCAAACACGTGCTGAAGAGATACGAGGTAGGCTTAGAAGGCACGAGCAGCATTCCAAGCACCTGCCTGTCCAGGTAAATCTGGACCCCGGACTTGAGTTTGTGTTGCTTTGAGTGGGGCTATGGGATGCACGGTGGTACCGACGGCTTGGGCTTGGGAAGCGTGCTGGGAAGTGTGGTTACCAACACTGTAATAGCAACCTAAGTGTTTTCATTTATGTACTGTATTAAGTAAACAATAAACACTTTCGGATTGACAGCCTGTTACCAGCTGACCAGTGACCTGACTCATTTTGGTAACTTTGACCCAAGTGAGCTGCTTGACCCGAAATGTAAGTGGCTAGGGAACTGCTGAAAGGTGGCCAGCACTCCTGGGAATAACAAAAGCTGAACCCCAAAATAGTTCATCCACTACCTCCTACTGTCCAGCCATCCTGTCGGCTCGAATGAAAGGCTTGGCAGACGGCTGTCTCCTGCTGAGGGGAGAGCGAAGGTCACACAGGACAGTCTGGGCTTAATGAATTACTTTGTCAGGGGCGGGAGCAGGCTTTAGAAAAACCCTGGAATGTTGGGCTGGCTAGGGAATAGGGCTCTGGCTGGAATAGAGTCAGGTGGCATATTCTGCCTACTGAAGAACAATACCACAGTATTGTTAGCAAATACTTACTTCTGTTTATTTTTTTAAGACTAGGCTTTTCAGCACAAACACTGAGTTTTCCTTTCCTCAAGTAAAACGACCTCAATTGCATTCTCTGCACTTGGCTTTTCTAGCAATAATCTGAAGTTGACAATATCCCTGATACACAGATGTACAGCTGAAACAGAAGCTGATCTTTGAAATCACCGAAGTCAAGTGCGCTGCTGCTGCCGTTTGAGCATATTTATACACACATCTGAGGCTTGTCTGAGGAGATTAACTATTCTATTAGATTAAGTTATTCACTAGAAAGCCACTTAACCTGCACTGGAATAGATTCTCTAATGCAGTGATGAACATGTCAGAGATGAACTCTGAGATGTCTCTCAAATTTAGAGAAACTTATTTCTTTTAATAAACACCCTGTGCTTTGATCCCACAGACAACTCACAGTCCTCAAGACTGTATCATCTTGCTGAAAGATCAAGTGAGGTTTCTACAAAGACCTGCACTGAACTTTTGCTACCACCTCTAAATTATTATGCCATTCACATCACTGCTTGCCCAGCAGGGCCTATGCTATGTAAATTAAATATTATTGGTGTGGTGAAGGAAAGAAGTCTGGATTTCAGTGTTTCTGGAGGAGCTGATTAGTATTATCTCCAAGTTCACAGAGGTGTTTTCTCATTATTGAACAATATATTCACTCAAGCATCAAGGTAGATTGAAACAAAGTTGCCTTGCTGCATAAAAATAATGATGCTGGAACAGCTAATACCTGTCTAATACAATGTCCTGGCTGTGAGACTGGTGCAGCTACATGTGAGAAACAACTAGTTGTTGTCATTCCTGTGTGGATCTAACAGCCTCAGGAGATCTCCAAGCAAATAATAAACTGTCTCGCTCACAGCTTATCAAAGCCTGCAACCACGGAGCCCTGACAACAAACTTGTGACAAATCAGGCAATTTGATTACTTTTAACAATCTGCTCCTGCCTGTGAAGTAGTTTGGTGTGCAGATGCTGAATGCTGCAGCTGGGTGCTGTGCAGGCAGCCTGAGGGGACTGGGCATAAACCAGTTCAAAGTCTCCTGCAGAAACCTGCCTGGCAGCTTGTTTGCTTTGCAAAACCCATGCCCATCCCACATTCTCTCTGGCAGTTAAACTTACTGTTTGGAGTCTCTCCACAGATTAGCCTGGTATTGGGTTTTCTCTCTTAGGGGCTGTCTGGCTGTCATCTGGGGTGTCCTCCTATGCCATCCACCTATGTGACATGGAATAACAAAGTGCTGTTAGGGCTGCAGACTCCAGGACGTGCAGCTGCTCTGAGATTCTCCCAGCCTGCTGCCTCCCCAGGCCAATTGTTTGCCTGCTGCTGGTGGCAGGGAGGAAGCCCAGACCTGTTCCCAACTCTGCTGGGTTCCAGCAAAAGGATGTTAAGCTGCCTTTTTGCTTGGCAGATGTCCCTTCCTTTGCTCTGGCCCTCTGACCTCCCCACCTGCTCCCTGCCCTTGGCACAGGGCTGCAGCTTCTGAAACTCTTTTTAGCTTGGCTCCTTGAACCAAACTGAGACTTGTGACCTTTCCCAACCTGCTGGGGCTCTTATTCTCTACACCTGACCCTCTTCTTAGGAAAATCTGGGTAGATTTGTCCAATATGTATGGCAAGTCCGGACTGTGATACACAAGCCATCTAAAATGATCCTTTCATTTTCATTGCAAATGATTTCTAGGAAAGAGGAGATGCCTTTATTAATATTTTGACTAAGCTTGCAACACTGTTACAAAAAGGATCAGAAACAGTGGAAAAATAGTTAGAAAATATAAAAAAAATCGCCCAGATTAAAATACTGTCAACAATAACTGAGGACAGCTTAGGAACAACTCAAACTAATTTCTTCTCCCCATACAAGATTCCAACTAAAACTTGATGAGACCATTCTGCTTAGAGGTGTCATGGTATAGGATGAAATTCAAACTGAAAGAGGGAGAATTTAAGGTAGATATACAGTAGAAATCTTTCCCTGTGAGGGTGGTGAGGTCCTGGCACAGAGAAGATGTGGCTGCCCCATCCCCGGAACTGTTCAAGGCCAGGTTTTTTTATTTACTTGCATGTATTTCTACTCCTCCGTACTTCTTGCTCACTTAAAAGTAAAAACTATAAATAAGACTTAAAAAACTGGAAGAACTTTTATGATTTACCTTTAAAAAATATAATATACTTTAAACACAAGGTACCTACATGAAAGCAATCACTGACATATATGGCATCTTCACTTTGAGAGCTTTTTCTCCTTTTCCTTGGATTTCTTTGTCTTCACCTCCTGAGTTCTGATCACTGGTGACGTGGCTGAAAATAGCAGCAAGAACAGATTAGCTGAACACCACCTGATGTTCAAAAGATCGAGGCCTGAGGTACAGGCACCTGAAGCTTCCAGATATCCTCCCACACATTCTGCTGTACTTATCAAGCCCTTACAAAAGCAGCTTTAGTTTGCAATTCTGTATGTGAATATAGACAAAACCACTCAGGATATTAAATGCATGGCAAGGAATAAAAATGAGAACACTCACCTTTGACTTTAATAAATAAATAAATAATAAATAACTTGATGAGTTTTACCTACATCAGGTCACTTGTATGTCCCTGACACATATGCACTCGATGATGTAGGGGAATGATAACTTCCCAAATCTACACAACAAGACTTAAAAGGGCAAAGGGAAAACAACTGGGATATGCAATAATAAAAACTGCCCAGAGAAGAAGTGCCATCTCACTCTGGCATCCTGCCATCTCAGGAGCTCACAGAACACTATGTTTTTGGAGTCAAGGGGATCTTGCATCATCAGCCTGTTAAAAATTTCCCTTAACTGGACATGACAGCCCACGAGGACACCCCTGAGCAGCTGCCACGTTTGACATGTCAAGGACCCTGAAGCTTATTAGAGTTAAGGGGTGCTGTGGAGTTAATCTGATTAATCTCCTAGAAGCAGGATAATGGAGAAGTGGGGACTGGTAGTAAAACCTGTGTGTGCTAGTAAAAGATGTGAAAGTGCTTTGGCAGGTACCAAAAAGACTTTTTGGAGAGTGTGGGTTTCTTCAACAAAATAGGAATATTTTTGGTAAATTCTGGCACTTTGGTTTTTTTATCTGTAACAATTCCACCAGGTCTTCCAGGCTTTGCATCTTGTTCTGTAGCCCCCTTGGTGTGTGCTCGCTATTTTCCATGGGCTGAGAAGCTAGGAAAAAAAATTATTCATCAATAATAATAATAATAAAAAAGGCCAACATCAATTATCTAAACATTCCATTTAAATCAGAGTTCATAGAAAATAAAATTTATACCAGTATTTTCAGTCAGACCCAGAACTTTACTAAATGTGTTACAGGAACCACCACAACTACGCAATTATTGATGTCAGGAATTCCTACAGTCTTATTTCTTCCCGAATAAAGCGATTTACAAGGCCTTAAATTTAGTGGTGTGTGGAATTTATCTCCTCTTTGTCTAATACATTAATTAGCTGCTACATTTTGCTCACAATTCATTTATCACAGAATCAAACTCCTTGAAGAGAACTGGGAGAAGGAAAGGCACTGGTAGCCAAGCTGTTGGATCAGGAAACAGGACAGGATGTACCTATTTGGGGGGCTGTGGCTGCACCCCCTGGAGAGCCAGCATTCCTTGTGGATGGTCTGTGTCCTGGTGAGGCACTGGAGCCAAGGTCCTCAGGTAGGGTAGTTAACAGCAAGGGCACTGGAGATTTTGCTCTGTCTCTCTCCTCCCGAGAGCTTTCCTGGGGGAGGATGTGTAACAACGAGCTGCTGAGCAGATGGATGCAATTCCTAGGAGATATCCAAGCAAAGAGCAGTGAGCACACAGCCTGATGGGAATATTACAGCTGCTCACAACCCAAGACTCCCTGTCCTGACTTGGGTCTCATTACAAACTCCCCTCGCTCAACTACTTCTCAAGGCTTCCACATAAAAATACCCACTCCTTGAAGCTATTTTGGATGCCAGGAAAAATCTCTGGATGTTGCAGTTGGTTTTGCTAGAAGGCTGAGAGTAAATACCCAAGAGATTTCCTTTAATACTCAGGTATATAAAAAGAGTACCCATAGTAGTTGCTCCTCACAATAAACAGAGGGATGCCAGCCTATCTCTGAAGCACAGTGGCTCAAATTTTAATAGAGAACAATAAAATATATCAGTGTCTGCAGGCAGTTTTAACAGAATGGGTAATCTAAGGGTAAAAAACCCAGAAGGTGGCTAAGATTTGTATCTTCAAACCCTGCTGCTCAAAGCCACATCCTTATATTTCTGTTTAGGTCACTTAAATCCACATCACCACAGTTGAAAAGGTTCTGACCACCCAGTACTTGGAAGGAAATCAACAGCTTCTGCAATGAGCTGATACCTCTCAAAAGCACATCCATATCCCAATACCTGAATGCAGAATTCAAGAGCCTAAATTTAGGCTCCAAGAATATGACAATATTATGTATGCTAAAATTATGCAAGACTAACATGGCAGTTATCCATTTTGGGTGTGCTGGTACCAGCCTCCCAGGAGATGCTTTGCAGCAAGATACAGATTTTGCAATTTTGCACAGTAAGTGCAATAGAAACTTTGTAACATGTCCCAAGAAAATACACTGTATTGGAACTATATTTTTTGGTACTGTTCTGTGAAGTTCCACTTTGACATCAATATGACACAAATGCAGCCAGCGAGATCTTACCCAGGGATGTAAAGGTCAGGGAAACATCTTGGGACTGAAGATCTGCAGGGTGTGAGCAGGAAGGATCCCTAAAAGCAAAATGAAGGCAAAACTTGCATTCTGGAAGGATTATGCTAAGTTTTGGCCATGCTGGCCAGGCTCCATGGCGAGAATGTGGAGCTCTCACATGGACTCTCCAGGTCTTATATACATGAAAATCAAAAGCAAACAAGGTAAGTAACTTTCAGAGCTCTTTCTTAGGGGGATGAAAGCAACACCACAGCTTTGTTTTGTAATTCCCAGGAAGCTTTTAGCATTATGAATAAAGCAACACAAACAAGCTCAGGACTGAGGCTGTGTTAAATGAGCCTTAGAAACCGAATCTCAAATGAATACTGCAAGAAGCAGGTTACTCAGCTAAGTGAAAGCACTTCTCACTGTCCTAAAATATCCTTTTCCACCATGCTTGCAATAGCAGCCTTTCCAGCTGCAGTTTAGATTTAGTCAAATCTAGTCAAAATCCATGAATTCTATTTTTCTTTGTGAAGTATCCTCACGTTCTGGATTAGAAAAGTGTGTTGTATGTGCTGTATTGATTTTTCAACTTCGTGTGTTTGGTAAAAAAAAATAACTGCCTGCTTCAGCAATGAGAGAGGGGATATTTACATAAGGCAGGACAAGAAGAAAGGAGTTCTAAACCAAAATAAAAGGTAAAACACCAAAAAGCAAGCACTAAAGGCAAATGGTGTAGTCACCTCCTATTTCCCTACCACCTGAAGCATCTGAGGAACCTGGCAAACAAGAGAAGCTTTGGAAGTTTCCAGATTCTCTCAAGCTTATGTGTAAACCCAACTTTCTTGTAAAAAGACATCCTATGGTGCTCCTGAGGCACGTGAAGAGCCAGATCCCAGTTTTAGAGGGCACTACAAGTACACAGCACACAACAGAAATAAAGCTCTTACTCTTACACTGCATTGCTCATGGTTGCTAAAGGTGGTTTTCTCCCACCATTGCCACTGAGATCCACGGAGGGAATGTCACTGTCTGAGCCTGTTAATCCTTGAACAATCCTCTTTAGATCCTGCAGTGGTTCTTCCTTCAAAATGTCCAAGCTTGGAAGGCACCTGAAATAAAACCATTCAGTTATAAAGTATTTACAAAGGCACTCTGATTGTCAGTTCTTAGCTCTACTCATCCAGAGGCACATGTTTTACTTTTGTTTCACCCCCTCTACTCTTGTTTTCTCCTTTTACCCTGTGACCCCAGGTATTGCTGTACAGGACACAGACACAGTGCTGAAGACAGAGAGAGGAGCAGATGAGGGTGTTTTCCAGGCACTCATTCCTGTAACAGCTGAGCTGTCTGCAGACAGAAACCCCTTTATTGTCACAGCCACCTAAGAGATGAAGTGCAAGATTATCCTCATTTTACTGATCAACACTTGAGGCAAAGGCCTGGCTCAAAGAACCCTTTCCTTCTGTAAAAACTGGATTTTTCAGACTACTCAGCACTTTGTAAGTTCAAAGCACTGCTCCCACTGACCTTTGCTCCACTTGGGGATGGAACTGGCTGCAAACATTTTGCTACCCTATTTTCATTGGGGAAAAAAAAAGTAATTTTCAATGGGAACACACTGGTTTCATCAGGGCTTTTGTGGAGAACAAACCCTCAGCTTCACAAGGAGTCAAAGTGATACTGGGTCAGACCAAACCAACCATTCCCACATTCCAGCTAAGGAACCAGACTATCATCCATGTCTGTCTCAAGGGTTGGAGCTGCTTCCTTTTGTACAGTAACTAATGATGCAGGAACCAAGAAGATTAAAGCAGACTTGAATTCAAGTTCTTCTGCAACCTGTTATGTCCTCGCCATGGTACTGCATTAAAAATCACTCCTTTTTCCCTCTTTATCCTGAGAAGTATAAATTGATTAACTCAAAGAAAAGAGAGTAGGAGTGCCTGATGCTGCAGGGATTTTGCAGAAGCCACTGTCCTTTGTTCCTTGATGTAAATGTTTGCCACCACATCAGAAAGTAAACCAGAAAATACTACTGAAAAATATCTGTACTAACTTGTAGTCTCCTGCAGATTCTGAGGCAAAAATTAAAGAAAACACCTGCTGAAGACACATCAGGTCCCTTCTGGAGATTTTTACAAAAATCTATATACAAAAACTCCAAAAGATTTTTTTTTTGTATAAGATGATGTTTTCTGTAACGACAAATCAGAACACCACAAGAATTTAATTTAAATCTAAATGCAGATGTACAAAACCAAAAGGAAGGACAAGGATGTGGATAAAACTAGTCAAAAGCAGTGAAGGCCAGAGTGGAGAAAGATTTAAACATCAATCAGATGATTAAATTTATCAAGAACTATGTAGAAGTCTATTTTCACTGTCAAATGTAAGTGATTTACAGCAAGTAGAGTACTAGCAAAGAAAAAGAGTGAAAACCAATGTAAATAGTTTATAAGTGTTATTGGTGATAGAGATAAAATAAACTCCTACCACAATCTACAGGGTTTTTTAACTGTCTGGTTGGTTTCTACACAAAAAAAATCGACCTGAAAGGCCATGACATATAAGAAGCTACAGAAAATGATTTCATCTGTGCTGTTAAGAATTGGCTCTTGGACACTGCGACCCGATGCTCTCCCACTTAGAAATTCCATGATATTTTTACTCTTTGGAACATGCTGGTTTCCTGTGCAGGTTCCCATCCTGAGGCAGGTGCTCACCTGAGGGGCAGGGCTGGCCAGGGAAGGTGGCAGGACAGCAGGGTGCAGGTGGGACAGAGGCACAACATGCTGAAGCTTTCCTGAGGCAGAAGCTGATGAGTAGCCTGGGCCCTGCAGCTCCTGTGGAAAAACAACAGAGGTTCCCCACCTTGGTCATTCTTCCTCTGAAGCACTTTTTGTATTCATACTTTGAATGTAGCATCTTGTTTCTCCCTCAAAACTAGCAGCTGGGGGGGGTCACTAAAATGAATGATAGTTTCTTACGACAAAAGGACTGTTCTCCACGTACTGTTCATTCATAGCAACAGTCTCACTGCAGCCTGAATAGCCCATGGTTATAAATAAGGTAAAAGTAAATAATACCCTCTATTCATCTCAAAAGTAAAGTCAGAGATTGGACCAAAGCTATGTTTTCATTGCCCTTATTGTAAACAGCACTTCAAAAACCTGAATTTGTGGACGTGACGCGTGCAGCAATGAGGAATTCCATGTAAAAAAAGGTTTCAGAGCGTGAACAGTTCAGAGCTGTTCACAACAAACAGAGTTAAACCTGAAGTTCAGACCCAAAGCAAAAGCATTTAACATTAGGACCATGTTTCTCAGGAACACACTCACTTTGACATCCAGAGTGTGCTGCAGCCTCCTGCTCCTGACACAGGATTATGCCCTGACACTCTGCAAATTGCATGGATGCCTGGAAGAGAGCACAGAAGAGCCACAAATTAGTGGTGCTAACTTTCTGGGGGTTACAGTCTTACCTGTTCTCTCAACAAGCTGCACACACAGATGTTGTTATTAAAGGGACATAATCCTGTCAAGGCCGGGCCCAGACCTACTGGACACCTCTGGGATTAGAAAATTCAGCAGTGCTAATGAGGCAAAACTATATTCAAGCTTCTAAAAGGGGTGGCTGAGAACTTGGTTCCTGTCTTTGTTAAGTTATATATACTTTTTCTTCCTTAAAAAGTTTACTGTGAAAAGGGGTGAGACTATCTATACACACAAGAAAGGTAAGTTTCCAGTGACAAGCACTTAAAGAAAGATATTTCACACTTGGGAGGAGGTATCATAATTATTTTATCATTTTTTATTTAAAGCAATTTGAAAATGACACCTTATGTAGAAATGTACATCCTGAAAAGTTACCATCCTGAAAGGGCTCTTCTTTATAGAAAAAAAAAAACAGAGATATCTCTTCAGATAAGGATCTTCCAGCACATGTGAAAAGAACTTATTAAATATAACCTTTCTCTTCCCAGGTGACAGTAGAGGAAAACATCCAGAAGTGCCCCTGAACTCAAAGTTACCTTGAATTACCTTATCAAGGGCTGTCTCCATCTTAGATAGTCTTTCTTTCAGTTGTTTGTCTTGTGCTCTCAGGATGTCCAGTTCTCTAGCAATCCTGATATTTTCTGCTCTAATACAGCTCAATTTTTCACTTAGTTTACAGTTTTCTTCTCTGAGGTAATGCTTTTCCTGAATTTAAGATGGGAGAATCTGAATTAACCCTTTGAGAAGCTCAGTCATTGCACATTGCAGAAAACTGAGGTTTTGCAACAAGAAGATAGGTCTTGTAAGGAATATAAGGAAAAGTGCAACTTGGTGAATCTTGGTGAAACAACATCTCAGATTTCAGATCCCTTTTGAAACTGGAATTTGAAGCTTCAGTATCCACAGGACCCAAAGCCAGTGAAGAAGTAAACTACAGCTGTTGGTAACTGAATGATTTCTTTGTCACAGAAAACAAGTAAAATTATTTTTGGTCCTTCTTTTGGGCCAGCTGTGCTTTTGGCCATGCATTTCTCCCAAGACAAATTGCCCTAAATCCTGTTAAATGCTTTTACAGGGAGCTCTTCTGACCTCAGCTGCGTTAGCCATTGCCTCTTCCAAGAATCTAATCTTGCTCTGCAGTGCATCTATCTGCCCTCTCTTGGCTGTGATCTGCTTCTGCATTCTCACTGCAACTTCCAGAGCTGTAAAACACAAGGTTAATTCTTGATGAACAACTGTGATTATGACTGTAAAACTTACAGAAGTTCTCTTGTTAACAAGACAAACTTGTGTAATTTTTGGGAAGTTCAACCCATAGCTACCGTTGCCAGCAGATCCCTCCATAGTATTTAGAGCAGTCCTGGCCTCTTTCACTTCAGCTTGGGCAGATTTCAGCTGCATTTTCAGTCTGTTTGCAGTATCTTGCATCTCCTCGATTTTATCCTGGTAATCCCTCTCCAAATCTTCAAATGCCTCTGGTGAGAGTCAGGAAAGACTGAAATTAGGAGTGACAAAAAAAAAAATAAAAAATCATTCTTCTAGACTTAGATTACTGATCTGCTGCCAACTTGTGATAAAAGAAGTGCTTTTGGATATTTTCTGAGGGTATGGGAGTGTGCAGAGAGCAAAGCATGTGACCAGTGGCATCTGTCCAGCTGCAAAGCAGATTTAACTGAGAATCTACGTGAATTTTGGTGGTTGCTTTGGGTCCAGCCAAAAGGTGTATTAGTTGTGAAAATAGTCAAGTTAGAGCAGCCACTTTTAATAATGTTTTAGCACACGTACAACAAAACAAAGTTTCCCTGTAATTTGACCACAGAAGGTTAAAGGGATCCACTACTGCTCTTAAATAACAATCAGGAAACAGAGGTCAAGTTCCCATTCTGTGATTTACTAGATCTGTTTTTTTCATCTCTGGAGCCAGGCAGTTTTAAGTATTTTTGCTCAGGGTACTGAGATGGGCCACAAAGATTGTATTCCCACCCTCCTGTGCCAGAATCCCACGCCATGACACAGCTCCCTGAAGGAACCCGACCATCCCATGCTGGCAGGAAATCTCCTGCTCTACCAGCAGCCATATTTGGATTCAGGGAGCAAGCTGCTCTTTTATTTTTAACACCAGCCCAAATTAGCAGCCGTGGGAGCTGAGCTGGGGCTCCCTACCTGCAAGGCCAGCTAGGTTGCTCCTACCAGCCTGGAGTTCATCCGTGAGCTGATCTTTTTCCTGTTTCACATCTTTAAGTGCCTGGAGCCTCTCTGTGCATGTGTTAACCAGCTGAACCTTTTCCAGCTCCAGCTCGCTCAGTCTGGCCTCCACCTCACGTATTCTGGCTTCTTTCTCATCCTTTGCAACCTGCTTAAGTAAGAAACAACAGTATGTGTACTCTACATAATTACATAAAATAACCACAAAGATGCGTAGACACCACTACTTTAAATCTCACTTTGGGGCAAGAAATTAAAACAGAGCAAAACAGAGAGATCACTTGTGTGAAAATTGCTAATGCAGGCAAAAAAGGGGGCAACAGAATTGGATGTGATGGTTTTACAGCATGTTACACCTCGCCAGTGTAGGATATGAAAATGATTTCCATCTTGCAGCAGTTCATTCCCAATGCTCAACCCCCTCCTCATATTGATCATATTTTTCCTCTCTGCCCATTAACTTAGTGCTATTAAGATTCCAGATACCTTCTCCAAAACCACAGTATCAGCCCATTAAGGTAGAGATTTAAAAACAGAAAACCCATATTGTCTTAAAGAGACATAAATACAGCACCGTTTGCACACCTTGAGCTCTTCTACTCTGAGTTTCCAGTCATTTATTTCTTGTCTAAGCTGGGATTTCTCAACTTCCATTGCTCCAGCAGCCCGACCGTGCTGGCCCATGATCTGGGTCATGTTATCAGTTTGCTTTTGGAAGATCTCACTGATCCTTTCCTACTCCAACACCTGCAGTTTCAGTGTCTCACACTCCGACTGCCCCTTGTGTAAGCAGCCCTCTTCATTCTTTAGATGCTGGAGCTCCTGCAGCCTGCTGCCAAGCTGGGAATGCAGCTCCTTCAGTTCCTGGCTGGTAACCCCAAGGGCTCTCTCCTTCTCCTGCAGACAGGCTGCCAGATCTGACACTGTTTTCCCAGCAGCCTCCAAATTCATCTGTTTGGCTGCAAGATCATCTCCAACTTTATGGAGTGTTTCCTTGGTTGCCTCCAGCTGGACACTCAAAGAGGAGATTCTTCCAACGCTTTCATTTTTTTCCTTAATTACAGCCATCTGAAGAATAATAATACCAGGATCAACCAAGAGATTTGGTTATTTCTACCTTTAGAATGTCCTATAGTTCATCTTTACTCGTAATGCAAAGCAGGTTGTCTCATTACAGCTCATTTTGGAGGGGCTGAAGTCTGGAGAAAAGGGGAATGAATGTCAAGTGAGCGTCTAAGAATCACCTTTGTCAGAAGGAATTCTGACATGGCACCGGGTTATAAACACAAACTTCATTATATTTTCATTAAATATCTCATGAAGTAAAGCACCACAGAGGCCCTTAATTTACTAACCACTCTTGCAGACATGCTCACTACCCAGAATACCACCTTCAACAGCTTGTTTGATATGTCTGGCAGCACCAAACTTACTGGAAGTTTGCAGAATGTCCTTTTGGAGGTTTATAGCCAAAATCACCAACCTGGCACTCCATTTGTCTGAGACACTCCATCCTCATTTCCTTCACTGCCTCTTCCATGCTCTGCAGCTGCTGGTTTTTGTTGTCCAGCTGTCTCCTGAGCTGGTCCACAGTGATGCTGTTGTCTGTGTTCTGATCCCAAAATCGCTTGTTCTGTTCTTTTCCCAGGCTTAGTTCTATCTCTTTTTTTATGAAACTTAATCTATGAGAAATCAAAGTCATCTCCCTCCTAAACACATTTAGGATCATTTTGGTCTCTTAACATTAGCAGCATTCAGTGGCCCAGTTACACATTGGAATAGGAACTGCTGCAGGGGTTTCCACTTGGCAGAAGGAGAAAGGTTGGCTAAACGAGTCTAACATCTCCTCCACTTTTCCTTTCAAATTTATATATTTCCTTTCAACTGCATATATATTGCTGCTGTAATTATTTTGAAGCATGCAACACCTCAATGCTGAAGTCTTTCATGTCATTTGTATCTATCCCCAAATCAGTATAAGCCACAAAAGGAAAGAAAATGATGCCATGTCAACACCAAATGCAAACCAGCAAAGCAGTAACTCTGAGGTTAAAGGGAAGGTTGCTCAGCATCTTTAATGTGCTTTGCCTAGGATTCTGTGATTTTTTAATTTGGGACAAAGTTAATCTTAATTCTGGATGTCCTGCATTGCTAATGGAAAAGGCCTCTGGGCTTTTCACATCTAATTCAAATTTCTAGTTAAAAATAATTCTCAAATTTAATTATAAGGGGAAACAAGCAAGATGCAAACATGAACACCAGCAGTAAGGACAGGCTTTTATAAAGTAAGATTTCTTTCAGTACTATCACTTGTTTTTACCAACAATTGATGAGTCTGGTCCCTCAGATTTCCAGATTCTTGGTCACATTGATCCTGTTCTGTGTGAGCTTCTGCTGGCTCAGAATGAGCAAGGTACAACTGCTTCTCAAGGTCTCTGACCTAGAAAAAGACAAATATTCATTAAGAATTATCTTAATGTATTCTATTTTAAGCAGTACATCGGATTTATTCTAGTTTTCTGTTAGGTTCTACTTTAAACAAGTCCAAACATCCTTTTTTTGGCACAGCAGAGTTATTCCCTGAGTGTAATCAGAATTGTGTTGTCTTCTTTCAGTGATTAAGCTCAATGTCATTTCAGAGTTAGTTATGATTCTGGAGAGTAATTTGGCTTCTACCTTGATCCACAGCTCCTCAGAAATTCCTTACCTACACCATAAGCCCTTAATGGAATGGGCAAAGAAGCACTTTAAAAAAAAAAAAAAGACCTTTTTCCACAGAGGGATATTCCTTCACTATGAGTGAAGCAGCAAGTGGAAAGTATGAGCAGCATAACCCTTCTCCCAAATTAAGGCTGCTTCTAACATTTTGTACACTATAATAAAAAAACAGACTGAATGATCCCTCTCCACCAGGTTTCGGGGGCTCTTTGCAAGCTGCAGGCACTGTCAGCTTTACCAGCCAGTGCTGCCACCTCCTGCTCATGCTCACTTCTTAGCTGCTCCCTCCTCTTCCAAAAAGATAATACTGGTTACTAATTTTCATCTTGGCAAACAGTAACTTCTCTCAGTACTGGGCAATGTAATAATTTTGATGTTCTGCTATTAAGTATCGACTGTTATTTTGAAGAGGCTACTGTATAACTCCTGGGGAGAGGGAGAGCAGGGCAAATTTGGACCTCTCAAACAAGGAAGGACAAAGCTCTAAGTGCTTTGTCAGCCACAAAAAAAGCCAACTTAATCACCAAAATTATTATTTTTAATCTTTTATTTTAACAGTGGAACTGCTGTTCCAACAAATTCTACACATCCAACTAAGTTACCAATCACACTTAGAAAAGTAAGGTGTAGAGACTCTTCCAAAATAGTATTTTTGAGGCAATGAATAAACCAGGAAATTGTCAGCATGGAAGGAAAAAGCAGCAGAAAGTCATGAGCAAATAAATATCTGGATGGAGCAATTATTAGAACAAAAACATTGCTTGCTACCCCCTAGTCACCTCACCCCAAATACCATCATCATCATCAAGGAATCATCTGTGGAACTTGTGAAAAAACTTCTATTTATGTTCTATGAACAAAAAAACAGAGAACAGGTACCTAATTTGATGTTGCTGAAGCAGAAGTTCTTTTTGGGTCTGTGAACCTTTTTTTTCAGTGACTGAAGTTCTTCCACCTGTCGTGGACAGATGACACTGCAAACCCCTAAAGAAAAGGCAGTGTGAACAACAGCTTGTAAAGTGGAATTTGCTTCCTTTTTCTTTCACCCTGAGCTGTGGAAACGGGCACGACACGGGATAAGTGCCAGCAATAAACCCAATTTCCAGTTGGGATCAGTGCTGGAGTACCAGCACCTGCCACCTGAACTGCACAGTGGCATTTGCACCTCTTCATGCCATAACCCTTTCCTTAGGCCAGGTTAGGAGGGAACTCGTGGAGTTCTCAAAAATATTTCCTAAAACCCAGAAAACTGAGTTTGGGGAGGAAAATCAGCACTTCCTTCACATACCAGGACAACCTTTTGTTTGAGGTATGACACCTCTGAGTCTAAATCTCTCAGGACATTGACAGTTGCTGTGCTCAGGCTGTGGAGGAGCAGGCTGGTAATATTCTTGTGCTCACAGAGTTTCCTGCCTCTGCTGTCTTTGTAGTCCATTAGGATGCCCTGTAATTCCAGAAGTACTTCCTTGTGGCCGTGGACCATCTTTTTCAGATGCTCAGTTTGGCTCTCAGCCTCCCTCAGCATCTCCTCCTGCAGCTGGTTGGTAGCTTCCAGCTCTCAAATAGCATTTTTCAGCTGTAATTTTTCATTCTCTTGGCTCTGCAATTCCTTTTGTCTGAATTTGGAAACCAAAAAAAAAAAAAAATTAGAAAGCAGGATTCACATGGATTTTTATCCTAATAGGTGTAGAACTTCTGTTGCTTAACTGCTGGTTTTTACAAGTAAATAACAAGTTGTTTTCTAAACCAAGATGCTACAGTCTTATTCCTGAAGGGAAGTTTCTCCCTGTGTGCTTCTCAAAGCCCAGACACTCTCCATAATACAAATCTGCCTTGGCCTTCATACCTAGTATCCAGAAGGGCATCCCTTTCCAACTGCACTTCCATCAGTTTGCTCTGCAGGACTTAGATGGATTTGCTGTTGCTCACATAGCTCAGTGGTCTAAAGGAGAAAAAAACCCCAACAAATTAAAATATTGAATACATAATCAAAATAAAAGAGGCTGCTCAAACAGGACCCTTCTAAATTACATAACAGTCTGCAATGTTTACAGTAAATTACTCCCAAAATTTGTTCTGAAATCTGTTTAATGCTTACCCACACTGGGCATATTGTCCCTTGGTAAAGATTTCTTGTGACACTAAGAATCCATCACTGATTCCACCGGGCCTCTGGTGGTTTCTTCATGGAGTTTTGGAGTCTCTCTTGTCTTTCCAGCACCTCCCTGCAGAACAGCACATGAAAACATCCCTGCCTTCATATTAGCACATCCTGAAAAAACTGGGTTTTCATTCTATAACATTACTGATAAAAACAGATTAGGAGATTCAGATGCAAAAATACCACTTTTTCCTGACCATTTTCCTGTGTATCTAGTACTGCACACTGGTGTAATAAGCACAGTGGTGAGGTGACACTTCAGTCTGATTCATCAGTCTGAGTGAATCAGTAAATCAAAGCTTTAGAGAAAAACACCATCCCTGTTCTCAGCTGGCCATTAATTTTCAAACTCATCAACGGCCCTTCTGTAAGGGAAACTTTCAAATATTAGACATACAACTGCATAT